TCTGTGAGGTTATGAGTCCATGTGACCTACAGGCTGTGTGCTGTGTTCTGTTTACCTTCGTACAGTATGTTACAGAAGCATCTGGGGGCCATATAAAGTTAATAAAGGAAGTTGAGTATTTGTGACACTTTAGGCTCCACTTCGATCAAGAATTGGTACTTTAGGCCTGTGAATTGTACTTCTTTTTTCTTCTTTGAAGCCACCATCAGAGGCTGATATGATGCCTGAGGGACCATCTTTTCCTGTGTGTAGCACTTTTGTACAAGAACTTTTTCAAGCCCAGTACAGGTAGGAGCAAATGACATGTTTGTTCCCTCTTGTTTTGTTTTCTTGATGAAGTTTTATGTGAGCTGACATGAATGTTTTACATTTTTGTTTTCAAAGATCTTCTTTGACATGTCCTCATTGTCAGAAACAGAGCAACACTTTTGACCCTTTCCTGTGCATTTCTTTGCCAATTCCACTACCCCACACAAGGTAAGAATGTATGTGTAAAATTAAGTTTGCTGTGATGGAGTACTTCTTCCTCTGTAGCCTTCTGTTAAGGCCTTCTACTTATTTAGCCAAGTAATAGACTTAAAGGTAATGGGGCCAAGCCTTTATATTCTATTTTTTTTTTTTTTTTTTTTTTGGTTTTTCGAGACAGCGAGACAGAGTTTCTCTGTGTAGCTTTGCGCCTTTCCTGGAACTCGCTTTGTAGACCAGGCTGGCCTCGAACTCACAGAGATCCACCTGCCTCTGCCTCCCGAGTGCTGGGATTAAAGGCGTGCGCCACCACCGCCCGGCGCCTTGTTATATTCTTGAGGCTAAGTGCCTGTCTGAGTGTACAGGCTGAGCAGGCACATGATACAGGTGGACCCAGGCCATATTGGTTTGTTGTTTGGTTTGTGTTTTTAAACCACCAGTCCTAGATTCTCTGGAGACTCTCCTTGTACTTATTTCAGAGTTTCTAGAAGTTAGGCTGTTTTGAAGAAAAAGACAACCAATTATGAATATGTTACTTGAAAAGTATTTTTATGAAGACTGCTTTTTCAAAGATCTTTTGATTTGTTTAGTAGTTTCTAGTTAGGTCTAAATGAACTTTTCCCATTTGACTTCCACATAAAAGGGCAAAGTTTTCTTGTTTTTAGATAGAGTCTCATGTATCACAGTCTGGTCTCAAACTTCTGTGACTGAGAATGACCTTGACCTCTCACTCTCCTGTCTAGGTTCCAAGTGCTGCAGTGGGGGACATATGCCACTGTTTGTGTTTTTTTGTCATACTGGGGGGATGCAGGACTGTGCATGCTAGGCAACTGAGCTGTCTCAGGCCTCATTTTAGTTTTTATGTTGGTTTCAGGTTAGGTTTGTTTCACTTCTTCTGTATTTTAGCTAAAATACGTGACTAATGAGAAGATGTGACTTTGATCTGTACAGGCCTCTCTATGTCACTGTAGTGTATCAAGGGAAATGTTCCCACTGCATGAGGATTGGTGTGGCTGTGCCTCTGTCTGGGACTGTTGCCAGACTTCGGGAAGCCGTGTCTATGGAGACAAAGATCCCTACTGATCAGGTAAGAACCTGCTAAGACCAACTACTTGTGAGCCACTAAAATATTGCTTTCTGCTTATCTGGATTTTTTTTTCTTTTTCAATTTTTTGCCAAATATGTTGTGGGAGGATGGATGGATAGGGGAAATCCAGACTCAAAGAATACAGTGTATAGAAAACCTTTGCCTGCTTCAATTAATTGTATATATGAAAGGAAAAACTGTTTTATGCAAGACCTTGTGGCTTTCTTTATAAAGTGTAATTTCTTAACCTTTCACACTACTGTGGTATTTGACAGAGAAGTTTAGGAATCCCCTCCTGTTATGGGGGTGAGAATGGGCATCTTGCCAGTGTGATGTTCTGTATATAATATATGTTCATTGTGTTGTTTTTCTGACCCCTGTTGAGGCACTGGGGTTTGAACCCAGGGCCTTGCCACTGCTAGTAAGTGCTCGATGCCTGAGTTATACCTGCCACTCTGTTTTGTTTCCTTACTGAAGACCAAAGTCTTTTGTTTAGATAGGGAAAAATTGGGTTTTCCCTTTTGGGGAAGGGGAAGAGGATCACATCTTTGATAAGTCAGTATGTTTAAATTGACCAAAAAATTCTTTTGGCTTGTTGGTGACTTAATATATTTTACACACAGTTTTTATTGGAAAAACATTACAGAAAACATTGCTTAGGATTTATAAGGAAGGATGACTTACCAGAGAAATAGCTTTTCCCTGGATAGCTCTTAGAAGCTTCTATATAATCACTTGAATAATAAAGATATTTTGTTCTTTGGCCTCATTTGGCCCCTTTGGGCAAATACACTTAAAGCAGTGTTGCCTTAATGTAGCAGATCTCTTCTGTTTCCATAGGCTGAGTACTGGCACAGTGGTGAGATGTTGGTATATTCTTTACATGAGATTGCCATTTGGTTCTCTTTCCTCTCCAGGATGAGGGAGGGCAGAAAGGAGAGAGGTCTCGGTGTCTAAGGCAAATGCAGCTGCGTCTTTAAAGCCTCAGTGCTGGCTACTCTTTTCACATGTGGTGTACATTGGTGATATAATTACTAGTTTGCTTTAGCCCTCAGCTTTCTGGAGAGGTGAATTATACTTCCGTGCTCACCAGGAGAAAAACAGCATAAGCATAAAATTCCTTAGAAGGAAATGTGCAAAGAACATTTTTCTTTTTCTTTTTTTTCTGGGTCATTTGTGAAACAGGCCTCCGGCCTTTTCACCTCAAACTTGTTGAATGTTGGGACTCTTGAGGTGGTGGTGGGGGAGGGGGAGTGGCAGTTGATGCCCAGTGGTGCCTTTTCATCCTGTTGAAGAAGGCCCTGTTTAAGGACACAAGGCTGGTTGATGGCAGGCTGGGCCTGGAACCTTCTCTTGCTCTGCCCAGTCTAGTTCTTTCGAACTGGGCAGTATTGCTGAGCCTGCAGCATAAGCTTTAAATGTAGCCATTGTTTTCTTCTCAGTCTTGTGCTTCTGTTTCATTGTAAACATATAACTTAGAAGTCAAAAGTATCTGAAGTATCAGTGCTACGAAGGTCACTACCTTTAGCGCTGTGTTGTACAGTATTCAGATTTTTTTCTGGGAAAATTCTATAGTCTTTTCTAAAAGTAGTTATTACACATATCATTCTTAGCTGCTTTTTGTTTACTTAGAGCTTGGCTTCATAATGCAGATATATGCATGTCATCCTTTCTATTAGCTTTCTTAGTCAATAGGGCTGCATTTAACTAGTTACTGTCATTGGGCATTTGAGTTGATTTTATGTGTTCTAATACACATAGCCATGGTCATTTGACATTTTTTTTTTAAATCTGAAAAGAGGAGAATTTAATGATATGAAGGAATATCTTAGATTCAGATGTAGTCTGCCCCCTCCATGAGGACTGAAAACATGTGGGACCTTAGGCAGGTCTCTGTTTCCTTTTTCCTCCTGTGAAACAGAAGAATGAGTCATTCTGTTATAACCTGTCCCCAAACTTGGAGGGACTCTGGATTTAGTGCCATAGAATTCTAGATTCAGGGTGTATTGTTACATAGTCACAGAGGCTATTATACTTCTAAGAGTCTCTCATTACCAGCAAATAATGTGGTCCTAGAAGACATCTAATAGCCCCCACTGAGCATTACCAACCTCATGGTCTTGTGAAGGTCAGGGTAGGATTGGAAGATCATTTTATATTGAATTTCCAGTTACCCAACTGTTCACATTTTCCCCATTTTTTAGATTGTGTTAACGGAAATGTACTATGATGGGTTCCATCGTTCCTTTAGTGACACAGATGACCTGGAGACGGTTCATGAAAGTGATTGCATTTTTGCCTTTGAGACTCCAGAAATATTTAGGCCTGAAGGAATTCTCAGTCAAAGAGGTAAATGGTCACGTCTCTACAATGCACCTGAGTTTGCAGATTTGACCACTGTGGGCATTGGAGTGTTATATGATAGTATACTATTTTAAAAATTGTGATTAAGTGTACATACTGTTGTGTTTTTAGATTTTTATTATCTTTTGTTTGTTTTTCTTGGTTTCAAAAAAATCTCTATTTTTTTTATCGCTAATAGTGATCCTTCTGAACCCCAAATCTGATTCCTGTGTATTGAACACCTGACCCTTTACTTGCCTTTTATACTAATTTCTTCACATGCCTTTACAATACCCAGAGTCCACCTCACCAGCTCTTCTTCCCCCTAGTTTATACAAATTTGTCTTAAGCTACTTGAATTCTCTAGTTGTGTATGTGTGTTTGTGTTTTAATCTCTGTTCTGTTCCTCTTCCTTTACTCTTGAAAGCTATTAAGCACATTATAAAGACGTCCTTCCCCAAGTTACTCAGAGAGCAAGACTGATTTAATCTTCTTTATCACATGTTAGCAACAATTTTTTATTTGGTTCTTCCATCTCTGCCATGAATTTGCACTTGGATCCTTGGATGACCTTCCTCCCATTCAGCCAGATGGAGTTTTTCCTTTCATTCCATTACCTCTAAGAAATCACTGTTTCCATATTTTATTCCCTTTTTGTTGTTTTTCTGTATCTATCTCATTGCAACAGGAATTTATGTTCCTGTGCTCAATGATAAATAGAAATACAAATTTAAGAAAAAGAAGAGAGAGATCTCAAAACTAATTCTTTAAAAGAAAAAAAAAAGGTGTAACTGAAAGAATAGCCCGACTTCTTTTGTAACTAATTAGAAACTACACTTGGACAGTCAGATACCACCAAGATAGGCAAGTAAGTGAGTCAGAGTGTCCCCAGTGACTGCTCCTCTAGGGAGTCCTTATATCCTTGGTTTGCACTGCTTCTTAGTGGTGTTTTTAGCTGAGGACCAAGACTCCAAATACACAGGCCTGTAAAGGACATGTTGGCTCACTCTGCTGGATTGCAGAGCGCCAGTTATTGCTTCTCATCTAGTGTATATATTTGGTCTCCTCTGTCTTTCCCTCTAGACTGGCATTCTTTGGAGTGCTGCCACTTTATAGTTCATCTTTTTTTTTTTTTTTTTTTTTGGCTTTTCGAGACAGGGTTTCTCTGTGTAGTTTTGCGCCTTTCCTGGAACTCACTTGGTAGCCCAGGCTGGCCTCGAACTCACAGCGATCCGCCTGGCTCTGCCTCCCGAGTACTGGGATTAAAGGCATGCGCCACCACCGCCCGGCTTATAGTTCATCTTTTTATACCTAACGGTTTCTAATATGCAGCAAGAGTCCAGCTAGTGATTTTTCAACTGAAAAATCCCCCAGTTCAGTTCCTATTCTTTGATTGGTTAGGGTTTATTTTATCACATTGAGTTCCTATGCATTAATGAATCTCATATCTAAACATTATACTCTATCTAGAGCATGCCTCTCTGAAAGGCACATCACTTACAAGCATATGTTAGACTATGGTTTAAAGACCTCATGAGTGCTCTAGTTAGTAGCAACATGTGAGAGCACCATATTCCTCATTCTGGGAATGACAGCTGTGAATTAGAGAGGTTAAATCACTGGCCCCAGGTCCCATCTGTTAGGAGACACAGGGCTGTGATTTGAAGAGTAGATTTTTGTAGCAGTTGAGCAGCATCCCTTTATCTCACTAGAAATCCTGATCACTTCACACATTTACCTTTGCTGAGAACCTGGGAATGAGGTAACTTGTTGTTTCAGATTTGGTTCTGTTATCTTTAGTTTTCCACATCACAGTTTAAAATGACTATAAAGTGATACCTACTCTTGTTACTTTGGGATTTCTTTGTGGTATTTATGCCTAAAATATGTAATTCTCTCTAGTAGCTTGGTTAAAGTTCAGGTTATTGTATTTCTAGTGATTGCTCTGTTAAACTACCTGGAATTTATTTTGATATTAGCTTTGTACTTGTCATTCAAATTATTATAATGCTGCTGCATCTTAACAGCAAGTCTTAGATTGCTGGCTACTTAGCTTACTGCCAGAACTCTGCTGCGAGTGCTTTTCTATAAGCTGTTCTGTTTTCTTCTTCCAGTGTTGTTATTATTGGTGGTGTTGGCAGAAAGGCCTTTTCTTCTTATGGGGGTACATTTCACTAGGTGACATCCTTTTTGAAAGAGTAAAGGAATTAACAGATATTGCCATTTGACTAGCTACAGAGCCTTGTGATAGGTATTGAATAGCTGGATGGATGGTCCTGATAACAGGAAGCTCTGCTATAGAACACTGAAGATTTGTGCTGTCTGTTAGGCATTTTTTTGTTCTTGCTAATGTGGGTTGATCTGTTCTAGTTATGTTCTCACAACAGCTCTGGATTAGTAAGTGCAGTTTTATCTCTTGTTATGATAACCAGGGACAAGAAACTCGAGTGAAACCTTGTAGCTGATTCCAAATGTTGTCTACATTGCTTTTGGGATGCATTTGGTTACTGGTTACTGGATCTAACTTTAAATCGTATTTGTGGGTCATTCCAGTAAACTTGCCCTTCTTGTGAGTCAGTTTTCTGTCTGACTTTGACTCATGTGGCGAATTCTAATTTCCAGTTTTAAAGGTAGGGAAGCCTACTTTAAAGGACAGGATGAATGCTGATGCCTAGCCTCATGGCTAGATGAGTAATGTCATAATAGAGTGTTTGTCCCTATTTTTGATTGTGGTTTAAATTATATAATGACAGTTTCCTATTAGTTCTATTTTTGTTATGACTAAATGAAAAGAATCTTGAAGGGCTAAGTTGAGCGTTTTTTTTTTTTTTTTTTTTTTTTTTTTAAATCTGTTTCAGGCATTCACTTAAACAACAATTTAAACCACTTGAAATTTGGCTTGGATCATCACAGACTGTCTTCCCCACCATCAGCAACAGCAAAACAAGGGAAAGTGGACTTGCCCCCAAGAGTGGCAAGTGACAAGATTGTTCTGCTTGTGTGTAACCGGGCCTGTACTGGGCAGCAGGGGAAAAGGTAAGAACCAGATTATTTCCCAATAAGTACTGACATTTTTGAGGCTACATGCTTTAAAAATCTTTTGAAAGTAGGGATGAAAAATCTACTTTCCATTGGAATTTTGTTTTGGTTTTGAGATAGAGACTTGTGTATCCCAGGCTACCCGTGATCCTCTAGCCTCAGCTCCCAAATGCAGGAGTTTCAGGCAGGTGCCATTATGCCTAGCTGCAGTTCATTTTCCATTCTGTTATTTACAAGGCATCTTTGTATAAGTTGGTTTGGTTTGTTGGATTGGTAAGGGAAAAGCTATAAAATTAGGATGTTAGAATTTGAAAGACGCTTATTTTAAAGCTCACTTAAGCTGGGTGGTGGTGGTGCACACATTTAATCCCAGCACTTGGGAGACAGAGGCAGGCAGATCTCTCTGAGTTCAAGGCCAGCCTGGTCTACAGAGTAAGTTCCAGGACAGCCAGGGCTACACAAAGAAACCCTGTCTTACGGGGGTGAGTTGGGGGAGTGTGGGGGTGGGTGGGTGGGGGAGAAGAAAAGAAAAGCTTGCTTAGATTTTGAGAGCTTATGTCCTATGTGTATTAGGCTTTTATTAGAATGCTGAACCTGTATCTTAAAACTTTAAAAAAAAAAAAAAAAAAGTCTTAACGTATCTCTTTGGATGATACATGCTCTCTAGACTTATGGCCACAACTGAACTCATTACCTTTCTCTTCCAATATTTTTGTGTTGGCAAATAAACAAAATAAAACAAACAAACAAAAAACCTCTGAGTCCTTCTGAAACATACTCATCTGTTGTTATCATTAGGTGAAGCTTTTTACTTTGAAGACATTCTATAGTTCCCATGAATTCTTAAAGAGGGCAGCAGAGAAATTGGAGAGAGTTTTGACTCCCAGATTTCTGACTGCTCATGGTAAGCAAGTCAGTAAGCAGCATTCCTCCATGCTTACCATGGCTTTCTGAGCCTGCTTTCTTATGGCACCTATCTAGGACCACCAGCTCAAGACTGCAGTGAGCTGGTCTCTCCTTTATAATCAAGAAAATGCCTTGCAGACCAATATGAGGGGGCATTTTCTCAATTGACGTTCTTGCTAAATGAATCTAGCTTGTGTCAAGTTGATGTAAACCTAGCCAGCACATAAGGATGGCCATGTCAGGCAGTGTTTCTAACCCAGCTGCTAGTGCTGTGGTTCATGGGGGAAGGAGGGTATCATGGCAGATGAGTAGGAGAGAGCATAGGAGGGTGTGGAGTGATTCTGTGCTGAAGGAGTATGGTCTGCAACAGATCTGGGTGTGAAGAGGAGGACACATTTGGGAATCAGTGCATAGGCTTGAACAACTAGGGTGTGAATGAAGCTGAGGCCAGGAAAATGGTCCTCAACAGTAACTTCATATTGGAACTACCTGAGGTCTCTCAGAAAGGCCTCAGTGCTAGATCACATTCCAGACTGACTTCATCAGAATCTCTGGAGCTGGCTTGAGCAACAGTAATTTTTGATGCCCCTTTGGTGATTTCAGATGCAGCTAAGGCTGAGAACTACAATACTTTCTCTGAGTTTATGGGGTTTAGGAACCTGGAAGAGCTCAGCTGGCTTCTGTCCTAGTTAAGAGCTGACTTCAGCTGTCACTTGCTTGCCAGTGGCTCTGTTGTCAGTACCAGGATTTGGCTGCCTGCTTCTTCGATCGTCTAGCCTTACCTCTTCCTGACACTGTTTGACTTGGTGCACATGGTTGGTCATGCTCCTGTCCACTTTGGTATTTCTTCACTGTCTTTGCCCCCTTGCTGCTTAACCGTGCTCTACAGAGGCCATTTATTCACCTGAGAGATCTAAGCATTTTTTCTGACCTTGTTATCTCCCTATGAGATTACCATTTTAGTTTTTTTGTGTTTGAGAACTATCCTAAAACAAGTTAGATAGTGATCCAATTTAAAAAGACCAAGGATAAGGGCTTGCAACTCTGAAAGAACTGCTGTATTTTAAGGCGACCTTTTTGTTTGTGTGGCAGATTTGGACTGCCTTTTGTCCTACACCTAGAGAAGACAGTAGCGTGGGACCTTCTGCAGAAGGAGATCTTGGAGAAGATGAAGTACTTCTTGAGACCTACTGTCAGCATCCAGGTTTGTAAGCATTTTGCTATCTCAGTAGAGCATGCTTTTTACTCAGAAGCAGCAGTCAGTACAGTGAAATTACTTTTGTTGGGATTTTCAAGACTAAGAATTTACTCCCAGTTTCTGAAAGGAGTTGCAAAAGTTCCCTTGAACTGCTGTGTATTCCTTTATGGTGCCTGTCTAGTACAGCTGGCATATGATCAGCAGCTTGAGATGTTATAGAACTTCTATCTGTAAATTTTACAAATTACCATGTATTCATGGAAGACCATTAAATTAGTGTTCAATGAAAGCAATGGAATGCTTAAATACTTGGTAAATAAGCTATATTTGAGTGCCTTGTACTTAAAGTGGAGGAGTATTTTGTAAGGTGAGCTGCTTGCTATATCTGATCTGTTTTGGAAATGCCACTGTGAAACATGCCCTTGATTAAATCCAGCTTAATTCTCATTTGTCATTTGATATAGGTGTGTCCATTTAGTTTGCGTGTGGTCAGTGTCGTGGGAATAACTTACTTGCTGCCTCAGGAAGAGCAGCCCTTGTGCCACCCAACAGTAGAAAGGTAAAAATAAACACAAAACCATTTTCAAGAATCTCCCATGTGCTTATATGACACTTACTGTGATGTCTGATGTCTGGTATAATTTCCATGTAGGTGTCTGAAGTTCTTTAAGCTCATGGAGAAATTAAGTACTAAGCCACTTGATATGCCATGCATTGCTGATACTCATGGAGGCCTGCCCCATTCTAAACAGAAACAGAGGAGGAGTGGATGGGGTGGGGGCAGAGGGAAGGATGAGGGAGGTAACTGGGAGGAGAGGTATCTGGGGAACCTGAGGTCGGGATGTAAAATAAATAAAATAATTTAAAAAACTAACAAGTAAACATAAAAAAAAATAAAACTTGTTTTACTTTTGATTCATACTGGGTACAAAGTTGTCCTAGTCAGCGTTACTATTGCTGTTATGAATACCATGACCAAAAAGAAGTCTGGCAGGGCTTACACTTCCATGTTACTGTTCATCATTTAGGGAAGTCAGGACAGGAATTCGAATAGGGCAGGAACCTGGAGGCAGGAGCCGATACAGAGGCTTGGAGGAGCGCTGCTTACTGGCTTACTCCCCATGGCTTTCTCAGTCTTCTTACTTATAGAACCCAGGACCACCTTCCCAGGGTGGCCTCACCCACAATGGGCTGGGCCCTCCCATCAATCACTAATTTAAGAAAATAAGTCTTATAGAGGCATTTTCTCAATTGAGGCTTTCTTTTCTCCATTGACTTTAGCTTGTGTCAAGTTGTCATAAAACGAGCCAGCATGGAAGTATTCTATGGATTTTCTTGAAATTAAAGTAGCTCGTGTTAGGAAGATTAAAAAAAAAATACACACACATACACATACATACACATGCACACAAATACACACATATGTATGTATGCATGCATAAATAAATAAATACATAAATGAATGATAAATAAATTACACTCTTGTCCATGAAGATTGAAGTGTTCCAGGCTAATGATCTGGTCATGCCCTAGTCATTACCCTTACCTGGTGACTTGTGGTCTAGAATGTAAAGCCCATATCCCGTAGTTTGAATTCTTGACTTCTCTTTGGTCAGGTCTCTTTGCTATCCCACTCCCCACTACACCAAATGTGCCTTTGTGTTTATTGTACTGATGATTGCTTGAACATGTGACACTGTCCATAATTCCTTTATTGTGAAAATAATTATTGTTCCTCTTCCTCTGATGGAATTAGTTGCTCTACTTTGCTACTCCTGTGATTTCATACATAATATTTTATTATCTTTATACTATCTATTGTACTAGCAGATATATGTATCTAGACTGTCCACATGTGGCTACATTAAATATGAAAAGTTGCATTGTTTTTATTGTAATGATTATTTTTAACATATACTTTTTAAAAACACACAGACTGGTCATGGTGGTGCATGCCTCTAATTCCAGTACAGGAAGATCAGGATTTGAAGGCTGGCCTTGGCAACATGGTGGATTTGAGACCTGGGTGTATGAGACACTTGTCTTACTCTCCCCCACCACCATTTTCTTTTAAACAACATAGTCATGTTTCAAATGTCACTATTTGGTTGACATGAAAGTAGCTAAATAATCTAAACATATTGCACAGCATACAAAAGATAAAAGATGAGTAATATTATCCATTAGTGATGAATGTCTCAAAAAAATGGTGATGACCAGGGAATTGACGGGTGTGTGTTTATGGAGGAAGAAGGTACAGGGGAGTTGACATGAACACAGGGTAGGTATAGTGGGGTGGGGTTGGGCAAGTGTGAGAGCAGACTGTTCCAGGAAACTGAGTCTAGTCTCTGTGTGGGTAAGACACTGGGCAAAAGTTGCAGAGATAATAAATAATATCTGCAAATATAAGCAAACTTATAAGGTGATACTAAATTTCCACTCTTATTTCTATATTGAATGTTTTAAGGATTTTTCCATTCTGCTTGTGAACTAGTTACAAAATCAGAGGCTACATTGGTCTGATTAAAGACTTTCTGATGGGGACTACTAAGATTTCCTTTACTTACAAGATTCTCGATAGACCATAATCACACTGAGGTAAAATCCTTCTTTTAGAAAATACAATGTGGCTCCACTCTCATTCTGTAGGGCATTGAAGTCCTGTGGACCAGGCGGCACGGCTCACGTGAAACTGGTAGTCGAGTGGGACAAGGAGACCAAGGACTTGTGAGTTTGCTTGTCGGTCTTTAATGTAGCTGTCACATGCAATTCTTATCATTAACTGAATATAGCTTAAGTGTGTTTAACCCTTTATTGAAGCAGTGCATTATTCTTTTCCTGACTTCTTTACAAGGCTCAAAACCTTAGATGAGTACTTGCTGCTGAGGGAAAAGCATTTGTTCATTAATTGCTGTGTATGTTGATTTACTTTGATTTTTTTGTTACAGGATCATCAGCTCTTGTAGGCTTATAGCAGACAGGATCGGTGTGCTCAAGATTGTACAGCTGTAGACTAGGAAGCTTGTATCAAGTACATGTTCTTAGATACCATGGACAAGAATGAACGAATGATTTAAGTAGCATGGACAGAGTGCGAGAGAGCTCTGGTTAATAGCACATACTACTCTTGCAGAGGAACCAAGTTCAATTATTGCACCTGTGTCAGGAGGCTAACAACAGCCTGTAACTCCAACTTCAGGAGAACTGACACTTCTGGCCCACACGGGTACCTATACTCACATATGCATATCCACATAGATATACATACATACACATAATTTAAAACAAAATAAGCGCAATCATGGACAGTTTGAGAAAAGCTAACTCCAAGTTAACTCTTGAAATAAACTTTGCAGATGAAGAAATTTCCAAGAATATTTTGGAATGTAGAAGAGTTGAATTACCACATTCTTATGCATTGGTCTTTTGGGTTATGAATTCATAGTACTTTGAAAAGCTATTGCTATGTCTGTCTTATAAATAAGACCTTCTCTGAAAGCTGCCTTTCCCCTGAATTGCAGCCTGTTTGTAAACACTGAAGATGAGTATATCCCTGATGCAGAGAGTGTCCGTCTGCAGAAGGAGCATCATCATCAGCCACAAACCTGCACTTTATCACAGTGTTTCCAACTCTACACCAAAGAAGAACGGGTAAGTTGGAGGGCCCGCAAGATGACAGTGAGGAGATCAGTCCTGCCCAGGAAAACTCCTCATGCCCATGCTACAGGAATTTGCATTCCCACAGACTCTACATTTTTAGAACTTGGAGTACAGTGTGTTCATGGAAGTTAGTGTGGAGATAAGACAGGCTCAGAAATGGAGGGAAGTGGGGTGAAAGGAAGAAGGAAATGGGAGGGACTTGGGGTATCCACCTTCGTTCCACCTTGGTTGGCAGTAGTGAGATTTGCTCAACTAAGATATTGTAGACCAAGAAAGTCCATATTAATGCAAAGGTGATAAGTTGCATTTAGTGGCATGCTGGGCTTGGGTGCCTCTGTAACAAGAGCATTTGGTCATTCTTCTTTGAGGAGGGAGGTTTAGCACTCATCTAGTGTCCACACTGGCCAGGTGTTACTTGTCATTGTGTTATCCCATTGGCTGTCCTCCTGTGCAGCTTCCAAAGAGATGCTGAGTGATACCAGGCCCTGGGTAAGAAAGTAGTTCAGCTGTCTGCCATGACAAAGACTTTCATTATGTGGTACCTAATGGAAGTCCTGCTCCTTGTTTCCAGCTTGCTCCAGATGATGCATGGCGGTGCCCACACTGCAAGCAGCTGCAACAGGGGAGCATCACATTAAGCCTGTGGACTCTGCCTGATGTGCTTATTATACACCTCAAGAGATTCCGCCAGGTGAGAAAATCCTGTCACTGGGGAACGCTAGCATGACCTTGTTTCTCTTGACTCCTGTTGGTGGCTTGTGTAGGTTCTTTGGTGACCCTGTTGGATTCACCCACTGATGCTGTCTGAATGACTCCACACATGTTTGGCTAACCCTATCTGTAGTCATGTTTTCTAAAGCAAAATTTGATTATCCTGTGATTCTTTAAGTCCTAAAAATTATAGTTCATGTAGTTCATGCACATGTTTTACTTTATTCTCAAGGATTTGATTTAGATTTGTAAATGTTTTCCATAAATTTTAGTGTGTTTACTTTTGGATTGAGAAGTGATCAGGTAGAATTCTATTTCTACCTGATGTAATAAACAGTATTGTCCTGCTTCAAGGAGCTGTAATATAGTTGGGTAGGTGAGTAATGAATAGATAGAACTATCAGCTTTTTCTTGTACTGCTTTGTGAGTCACTTTCCCCAAAGTCTATCTACTGCTTGAGGTGAAGAATGTCCTAGACAACCCCATTGTAAGAGAATTTAATGAGAGGTGAGCTGTAGTGAGTCTTTGTGGCCTGAATTTAAGAGAGTTTGTGAGAAAAAATGAGCAGCTGTTTGCTAGATGAGGAGAAGCAGGACTTCATGTGACAGAGGAAGCAGTTTATGCTGAGCCTGGGCCGTGAAGAGGCTGAAAGCAGGACAGTGGGGTGGCACTCCAGAAGATGAGTGGTGGGAGCTAAGATGGAAGAGAAGGGGGTAGAGAGCAGTTGTCCAAGCATACCCTTGAGGGCAGAGTCAGCTTTCAGTGAAGAGCTCTGCACAGAAGCAGCAATTGCCCAAGTGTGATGTGACATGATCTGTCAGCTGTTGGGTGGTTAGCAGATGAGAGCTTGCAAGTGTTGTGGGCAGCATGAGGCCGCTGCTGACTAAGGTGTAGCAGAGGTGTAGCAGCAGGGAGGGAGAGCTGTGAAGACGTAAGATGGACCAAGGGTGACGCACCTAGTCCCCGGGTCGGGGTTTTCTGAGCACCGAGGTGGGACTTAGGGGACTGTCCAGACTAGGCTTCAGGGTAATGAAGCATGGCACTTGGCTTGGGCATCCAGCTTGGGCTCCGCAGGTAGGAAATTGATTGAAACTTCAGTCCAGCCTTCTGTCTTCCTCCCCTAATACTAACTGATTTCCTTCACTTTTCCTTCCAGAATCCCAGACTCCAAACGGCAGTGTCATCTTTGACATTCCTTCTTGTCTTATCTAGGTTGCCACTTGTGCAGATTGACTTGGCTTTTCCGGGGAGTCCTTGTGTGTCTCCTCCTGAGTGCTGTCACCTACCACTAAATAACTTTCTGTTACTGTTCAGGCGGTTGCAGTTGCAGTCTTTTAATTGATTTCTTAACCTCTGTAGCCCTGCCCTTCCCGACATGTTGTACACACTGCTCACAGTTCTTCACTCACAATTCTGGTGACATCACTTCCTCCCTGCAAGCCTCAGTGCTTCCCTCTTCACCAGGAATAAGCCTGGCTCTCATTCAGAAGCTTTTCTCCTATGAACGTGTATTGTTCCTTAATAGATCCATCATAAATCATTGCGATTGTCACATCCATGTCTGATTAGTTTGCTAAATCTTCTCCTGGACATAGAAAACACGCAATAATATTCATTCAACAGCTTTTAGGTTTCAAGGCTATTCCAAAGGGTTTAATGGAAAACACAGATTATGCAAGATTGTTGGCTAACTAGTTAAGTTTAGCCAAGTAAATGTGCTAGTTGGAGAAGTGAGGAGGGAAGGATCACTGCTTATTGAATACCTCTCCTGGGCTAGGTGTGGGGTTGCCCTTTACATGGCTGTCCTCTATTATCTTCAGGCACTTGACAGAGTAAAAAGAAATTGTCACTTTCCTTTTAAGGTTGTCTCCCACCCCAAAACAAAAGCTTTGAGAGATAAATAAATGAAAATCGGGAGATTCATTTTCCCTACATGCTGCTTCTCATCGGTTCTATTTTAGGTCATACTAAAGCTTGTTGCTGTACAGTTAATATTATTAGTCTATTTCCCTATTAATGTGTCTTGGGAAACATCAGATAGGCGATTCAAAGTGATTGAACTGACAGGGCCCACATTTCATGCTAAACTGAACTTCCATCTGCTTGCATTAAAATGTCATCAGAACTTGTTTTTCTTCTTGCAACAGGAAGGAGACAGGCGTATGAAACTTCAGAACATGGTCAAGTTCCCCTTGACTGGCCTGGATATGACACCTCATGTGGTTAAGAGAAGCCAGAGCAGCTGGAGCTTGCCATCTCATTGGTCCCCATGGAGACGGCCCTATGGACTCGGGAGGGACCCTGAGGACTACATCTATGACCTGTATGCTGTGTGCAATCATCATGGCACCATGCAAGGGGGGCACTACACAGGTCTGCAGTGCGAGAGGCCGCGTGTCTGTGCTGACGCTTCCTTCAGGCTGTTTGCTTGTAGCTTTTGAACCTCCCTTTCTCTTCCAGTGTGCCTTTTGCGAGCTCTGAGAGCAGCTTCATCCTCCAGATCTCTGTCCAAGATCAAATACATGAACCTTCTTCCTTCTGAGTTCATTCATCCAGTAGTGAGCAGACCTGATGGGAGAATGTTTGCACAAGACAGCTGAGGAGCCACTCTTGTTTACCCACGTGCCTCCCCATTATAGCTATGTGATGCTTTTGAGGCTCTAGCATCTCCCTAACTTAAAATGGTCATGAGCCCCTTTCATGATGTCTTTATTCGTTTAAGGGTAAATTTACTTTTGCATTATAAAAGCAACTGTGGTCAGCCTAAGAAGTCTAGAGAGAGGTGGAAAGGATGCTATTGTGAAATGGGATTATCAGGCATATCCAGATAAAGATTATTAATATTAAAAAAATAGTTAAAATATACATAATTAAACTTAGCATTTTAGTCAGTATTAAGTGTCCAGTTTGGTGGCATTGAGAACACATTGTTGTATAGCCACATCACTGTCCATTTCCAGAACTTTTCATCTTCTCTAACAGAAACTCATTAAACAGTAATTTCCATGCTCCCCTCCTCCAGCCTCTGACAACTACCATACTCTGTCTTGATGAACTTATTACTCTAGCTACCTCTTGTACATGAGACCACACAGTATTATTAGTTCTTTGTAGCCGCTTCATTTTATTGAGCGTAACGTTTGTAAGGTTCATCCACAGTAATACTTTGATACATTTGCTCTTTTATACTGATGTGACTGACTACTGGTATGTTTCACTCATAAATATTAAACACTTTGTAGTTAGCTTACAATAGACTCTTATCGTATCACAGGTGACGAAATCCCACTGTGTATCTTCTAGGAGTAGGAACAAGTAGGTAGAGATGTAGCTAGAAATAAAATTTAAGGACACTGCCATGTGTGTAGTAAGTGGTAGTGGAGATGAACCCAGGGGAGGGGAGGAGAAGCTGCCTGAGATTGGCAACCTGTTTGTGCAGTAGTACCACATGGGCTCAGAGTGAGAGCCACATCTTTACTGTGGTCCAGCAAAGATGATGTTGCTTAGTGATATGGTGGTGTCCTAGCTTGTGTAGTTATACTGCTGTTCTAATGACAAGTTGTCTAACATTGTGTTTCTCAGGACATATTCTGTTAAGTGACTTGACTAGTAACTGTTCCCATTGTTAAACATAGATTGTTTTCTTTTTTAAACTTTTAATCTAATGTTGATGACTCCTTGTAGATTCTTCTCCTAGCAGTTAGCCACCAATTCCCCTGTGTATTGGCAAGGTAATAGTGATGGTTGGCCTTCCCAACCTTGCATGCTCTCTTCCAGTCAGGATAGGAAGATGACTAGCTATAATCGCTCATTCTTGAAACCCTTGTAGTGTAACTCTGCTGGCAGCAGCTGTTTTTGAGAGGAACGACCCAGCCTCCTGGTGTGTTCATGACCCAACAATTTGGCTTCTGCTTGTCTGGGAAGTATTTGCAAGGAGAAAAGGGGCTCCTAAGGTGCTTTCGCTTCACATAAGATATTAATAGCTTAAATATGTTTTACCTTGTACTTTTTATGAACACTATTTAGATAGATGGCAATGCAATGTTTGTTGTTTTATATATTTTTATAACAGCCGCTTGTGTGATGATTGTATTTCTAGTTGGATATTTGCTTTTCTAACATTACTAGTAATGTCTATGTTCTTGGATGCTGAGTCATGAAATTATTCTTTACTCTTAGAATGGAAAAGGACTTGGATGTAATTGAAATCTACTAGCTACTCACTGTATCAACACCTTTGCCAGCATTTCTGGTTGATATTTACACTGTTTCAGCTTTGGTAAAGAAGTCATTTTCAAATTAGAGACTTATATACTACCTAGGCAAGGAATTGTTAGGGAAAATAGGACAGTACTAGGTTTCAGAATATCATGTTGTTCTTTATTTAGAACAGACTTTGGAAACTACTTGAAAACCTCAGAAGCAGTGTGACTTAGTAAAAGGAGCTTGGGTGTGATTGTAGAGCCATCTAAGAACTTGGCCAAATAACTTTACTTGGGCTCATGAAGCACAGTGATGAGCAGAAGTGAGTGTGTCTGCTCATTGGCCCTTCCCTAGGAGGTACTCGCATAGTCTCTAATCAGTGGTCCTCAACCTTCCTAATGCTAAGTTCCTCATGTTGTGGTGACCCCCAACCATAAAATTACTTTTGTTGCTATTTCATTACTGTGATATTACTACTGTTATGAATTGTAATGTAAATGTCTGTGTTTTCTGATGGTCTTAGGTGACCTTTGTAAAAGGGGTCCTGACTCACAGGTTGAGAGTCACTGGTCTACATTATTTCCTCTTTCCTGTTCTATGTGTGTATTTGGGTTTGAGTTTGAAGGCTAGAGGACAACCTTGGGTATTGTTTCTTAGGCTTTGTCTACTTTGATTTGAAACAATTTCTTACTGGCCTGAAGCTTGCCAGTTTAGGCTGGGCTGTCCATTGAGCATCAGCCTGACTCGATAGGGTTACCACTATGTACCATGCAGAGCCATCTCCCCAGGTCCCTCCTTTCCTGTTCTTAAGGCAAACCATTGCTTATCTTATCTCTAAATGTTTACAGTTATAATTTAGAGAAAACAACCCCTGGCATTACATGACTTTTTTTTTTTTTTTAAATTACATTTATTTATTTGTCTTTGGGGATGACAGTGCATGTAGATGTCAGAGGACAACATGTGTGAGGGAGTTGGTTCTGTCTTTCCATCAGTGGGGCCTAGGGATCAAATAGGCTGTACGGACCTTTACCAGCAGTTATTTAGCTGGCGATACTCTGGTTTGAAGTTCTCACTAGAATGTCTTTGATGCATTCTTGCTGTAATTGCATAGTGCGTATATGGCTAACTTGTACAAGGATTCTAGAAAAGAGACTCTCAAACTATCTGTGATAAAGGCCTTGATATTTTCTATTTTAGCATTTCCAATCCTTCATAAGCCAGTTTTGTAAAAATACAATACAAATGTTACAGCAGTATCATATTGCTAGATGTTTTTGACTGCTTATTTTTGTTTTGGTGCCTCCTTTTGTGGACAAATGCCAGTTTCTGAGCCATAGCTTAAGTAGCACTGGCCTAGAAAACATGTTGGAAGGCAGTGTTCGGGAGAAAAGCAAGTAGAATTAGAAATAAATAGTTTGCTTATTAGTAAGTTACTATGTGGCCTTTCCATGCCACAGTCGAGAACAGACCATCCTGAAAGGAAACAGACTGAACTAGAGCAAGGTTATCCTTCTCTTGGTGGGCGTGTCCCTGTGCAGTTCTGCTCCCACTCACCTCTCCAGAATAGCAGCCTCCTCCCCAGATGGGCCCTTTGTGTGTTAGCCTGGCCTGACACCATTGGCCCAGCCGGTGCTGTTGCTGTGACTCCATTTGTTGTGTGTGTCTCCATTTCACTCTCTGGTTTGGTAGCTGCACCTGATGTCTCTCCCACATTCAGAGTCTTTGCTTCTCTTTTGGGACCTGTCTAGCTAGGAACAGTTCCTCACCTGGGTCCCTTTTCATCTCTGTGGTTCCACACTTGAAAAGTGAAGTGGCCTAACGAGGGTGTCACTGGTGGTGCCTGTCAGGATTGTATGTGCCCTGTCTTTGAGGGCTAATGAAGTCTGTGTCAGCATTTACTGAATATTCCAGCACTCATCTGTGTTCAGTAAATGGGTATTTTAAGAAGTGTGATAATAATTTGCTTTTCTGGATAAGGTTTATAAGATCCCTTGATCCAGCCTAATAGTATGACTTGGCCTCATGACCTCAAGGTTTTGGCATAGGTATGGTGCTTGTGATCAAACCCAGGTTCTTGGGCACACTAAGCACATATTCTAATAATTGAGCTATGTTTTTATTGGCTCTTACTGGCTCTGATTTTTTGTTTTTCTTGATAGTACTTAATTCTTCTTTATTTCTATCTCAGGCTTAGAGTTGAAACTGGGGAGAAGGCTCCATGTATGTATTCTCGAGTTCTGTGTTCTCAGGTTTGCAGGGAACTTCCGGATCATTTAGTCTTCCCCTGAAGGAAAAGAATGGGGTACAATCGGGCTTTAAGCACAAGCCAGAGGATTAGATAAACCCAAAATGCCATATACTCATCCTCCACCAGCTGCACAACTATGTGCTAGGCAGTCTTTGTGTGTAGGATAATATGGATGTATTAGTGGAGTGTGTGAGGTCAGGTGTCCTCCTCAGGGACACCTACTTTGTGTTTTGGTTTCTTGTTGCTGTTTTTTTTGTTTGTTTGTTGTTCTTAAAGACAGGGTTTCTGGGGCTTGGACTTGATGATTTGGCTAGGCTGGGTGGTGGGGATTGAACTCAGGTCCTCACCTTTGCCTGGTAAGCACTTTACCAGCAAAGCTATGTTCCCAGCCCCATAAGGAGTCTTTCTGAGCCTGTGTAAATTTGTAGGAATAATAAATCCCAGGATTAAATGAGATGCTTATATTATGGTAAGTCTTAAATATTAGTTGGTGGCTGTTCATATTTTATGTCACTAGTAAACACAAATATCAAAGTTCTTTACCCTGCCTTTTGACAGTGAGACTGGATATTCTGTGTTGTAGAATGCTCCCTATGTATTGTGGACATGCCTGGCCTCTACCCACTAGATGCTTTTTGACCTCCACCCCCAACCCACCTAGTTGTGACAATCAAAGTGTTTCCATTCATTGCAAAGTGTCTCTAGCAGGACAAAATTGTCACTGGTTGAGACCTACTTATACTTAGAAGTGTAATGAGTTTTCTGAGATGAAATAGTTATGAAATTGGAATACTTAGGAATTTCTTGGAACATTCTGTCTAGGTGTGATATGAAATTTGGATTTGTTTTTTTCCTTAATCTCTTTCTGTTACTACGGGCAGTTTAAAATGCTATTGAATTAATTATAAACGTGAACTATAAAGGGTATATATAATATAAAGTATGTGGGTAGAGTGCCTGGTGTGGCCTTGCTGGTGCTGACAGTGGGCTCTTTTTGGCAGCGTACTGTAAGAACTCCGTGGACGGTCTCTGGTATTGCTTCGATGACAGCGATGTGCAGCAGCTGTCAGAAGAAGAGGTGTGCACACAGACAGCTTACATACTTTTCTACCAGAGGCGGACAGCCATCCCATCATGGTCGGCCAATAGCTCAGTGGCAGGTAACCTGGTTCTTGGGTGTGTTTTCCCAGAGCAGGAGGTTGTAATTCTTGGACCAGAGGATGTCTCAGAAGGCTTCATTGATGAGATTAATTTTTACGCTTCCACTTAATCTGGGAACTAATATGATTTCAGCTAAGGAAGTTTGGGTAGATGCTGAACTATCATGAACTGTCATCACATAGAGGTGGGGCAGAGCCTAGCCAAACCATTCATAATTTCCTTGTTGGTGAAGTGCCTGGAGGAATAGTATTAGCAGCCTGAGGTGTTGTTCTGACATTTGTTTGGACTATCTTGGAATATATCCCATCTGATAACATCCACCCAGTGGGGTTGCTGGTTGTTTACCTTTGGTGAAGGTATGTGAAAGCATTCTGTAAACAATAAAGGACCATTAGAAAGGAAGAAAGTAAGAAAGAGTTCTTTTTCTTCCATAAGATTATTCTGTTAGGGGAAGAATTGACTGCTGTTAACTGATTGAGGGCTTAGGTTTTTTTTGTTTTTGTTTTTGTTTTTTTGTCTGTCTGTCTGTTTGTTTGTTTGTTTGTTTTTTGAGGTAGGGTTTCTCTGTGTAGCTTTGGAGCTCATCCTGGAATTCGCTCTGTAGACCAGTCTGGCCTCGAACTCACAGAGATCTATGTGCCTCCGCCTCCTAAATGCTGAGATTAAAGGTGTGCGCCACCACTGCCTGGCTCAATTTTGCTGATGAGATGCAGCCTATTATGTTAGTCCGTATAGAAATGAGTCCCACACAAAACATGGATGCAGCTATAGATAAGCCAAATGAGAGGAAGATGCATGCTTCTTACTGCAGACTATGGCTTTAAGAAAATAGCTTGAAATGTAATATAATCAATATGTACCTTTCCAGTCCTCTACAGGGGTCTGCTTAAAGCAACTGAAAGGAAGTGTTCCTCAAGCAGAGCAACCCCCTGCTAGGAGACAAGGCCTACATGGTGGGTAGGCTGCTCACTTGACTGGAAGAGGGCACTCTGGTACTCTTGGGCCATTCCAGAATCTGAGATGTGCTAAAAATGATGGTCTCTTTAGGTCTGTTTAAGGCAGTGCTGCTTCATGTAGTCAATTTCAAGAACGCTATTGCACTAACATATATTTAAAGGTACCCCTGGAATTGATAGGACTGATGGATATAGAGCACATTCGTATCCCCTGCTCTGTGTGTGTGTGTGTGTGTGTGTGTGTGCGCGCGCGCATGGATCATTAGTATTATAAAATGGCTTTAAAATGTCCAAAAGACATTGAAGCTAAGTGAAACAATGTCTGTATTACTGCCCTTTCTCTGGGTGATTCAGTAGTACTGCCAGTGCTTAGAGCTTGTGCTTAGCGAGTCCCTTGTAGAGTGAGTGGCTGTGTGTCCTTGTTCTACCATTCCCTTGCCAGGATTAGGTATTGCTTTTGGAAACATTTATTCTACATTTGCATTTTGTTTCTACAACTTTTCTATATGTAGGAATTGCTTGAAATTTCTTCGTTTTTGCTAGAGATACTCAGCTGTGGGAGTTTGTCTTAACTCTGGAATGAGGACACAAGTCTCTGGCTTGACTGGCAGCTTGACTTGATAGGCTGTGTGCAGTGCAGGACCCTGGCTGACCTTAGGACCCATCTTCTTTTCTGCAGGTTCCACAAGTTCTTCTCTGTGTGAGCACTGGGTGAGCCGGCTCCCAGGGAGCAAGCAAGCCAGCGTGACCTCTGCAGCCTCCTCCAGACGCACCTCCTTGGCCTCACTCTCTGAGTCTGTGGAGATGACAGGAGAAAGGAGTGAAGACGATGGTGGGTGTGGGTCTTGGTGTTAGATTTCCCAAATGACAACTCATAAACAAAGCACAGGTTCCGCAGGCTTAGGAACAAAATCTTTTTCCAAGGAGTTTGTAGAACTCAAGAGAGTGGAGTTGCATAACTGAGTTGTGGCTTCTCTGTAACCCAGGGCTTTCTCCTTCTACTTCATTATTTCCCACTTTTACATTCCAGTGTACGGATTAGATCTTCAGCTCTTTTAGTAGTAAATACTTTTTGTTAAAATTTGTAGAATGGCTGTAAGGACCCAGAGACTACCTGAGACTACCTTGCCTGAGACTGCTTCATGTAGAGTTACTGTTCTCAGTTCAGTGAGGACACCTTTGGGTCAGCTTGACCTCTACTCTAAACATAGTCACAATATCAATACTGGAGAAAATCTGATTAAATATTGAAGTGCATTTTGTTTATTTATTTTTTTCTTGGTACCTCTCACTTAGACTTGAACCTTGACAGGATAGCCCTTAGTGCTACCAGGAACCCCAGGTGGTCTGGGATGGATTGGCAGCCTAAGTACTAAGAGCTGGAAGGGGGAGAGGGTGAGCTCAGCTTCTGTAATGAAGACAGTGACTCATCTTCCAGAGAGATTCACTCTGCTGCCAATATTTCAGTTGCTTTAATCTGCTTCTAGGGGTGATGGATAATTCTGAGAAAATGAAATGGAGCCACAATGGAAGGTAGTTGGAAAGAAGTCAAATAGGAGAGCTGGGGCATGGCTTTGACTCGACCTGCTTTGGCATTTTGCTTCTTTTCCTCGTGAAGCAGGAGTATATTGGACTATTGTTACTAAGCTCTTTCTCCTTCCTAGTATTTTAGGAAAAGCTGACTACTGAACCTATGCCTATTTGGGTGGCTGTTATTTTCACCACAGCCCTGTAAACTTGGAATTTGCTGTTGTTTTAACAATAAACCCAGGAGTAGCTTGCCTTAATCTATTTTTAAACAGTCTAGTTGGTGAAATCAATATCTTCTTAAGCATCATCACCATTTAGCCCTGCTCAGTGGTCACATAGAACGGAACCTGACTCTTAGAAGTCACAAAGGCCACAGCTACAGTTATAAATGTATACAGAATTCAGCTTGGAATTGTCTTGGGAAGGTTTAAACCTTTGGAAATACTAGTCTACCAGTTATTCAAGGTCTAATAATATCCAAGGCTCTAGTCCTTTCCACTAATACCCTTTCATTGTTACCTGTTATAGACTTATTTCCACAGGGAATGCAATGGGGGTCATGGGTCTTGTGTCATTTTGGGCAAGGAGTTTGTTTCTGTGAGTCCCACGTATCCTTCAGGAAGATGAAGGAGATGGGTTAGCATCCCATGTGTAGTGAACGAACATCTGTGCATGCCAGGATCCTTGCTGGACACAGACTTCTAAGATTTTATTTAATTCTCTAATTAGACTAATGGTCAGCTGACTGCAGCTGGAGGCCACATATGGATGGCTGGTTTTTCCATAGATTTTGGAACATAGCCATCCGTGCTTAATTGTATGCCACCTGTGGCTACTTTTATGGTAAGGTCACAGAGCTAAGCAATTGCCTGAACAGCCTGACAGGCTGACTAGGTCTTTCCAGAAAGCATACTGACCCTGATGTAGGATGAAGTAGGTGGAGAACATTTGGCTGACTTCAGCATTAGCATGACCCTATCTTGTGGATAAGGGAACTGGTCTTTAAAAGATCGAAACACACAGCTATCCTTGACTCGAGCAAACAGGCCAGCTTTGAAGGCCATGGTCCTGTTGTTTCCACCAGGCTTGCCCTTGCTCTCTCTCAAGTGTTTTAAGGTGTTACTAAGTGTTTTTGTTGGTTTAGCCTGACAGAATTTTCTCTGCTATGCAGGAGGCTTTTCTACTCGACCGTTCGTGAGAAGTGTGCAGCGACAAAGTCTGTCATCCAGATCTTCTGTCACCAGCCCCTTGGCAGTCAATGAAAATTGCATGCGGCCTTCTTGGTCCCTGTCTGCCAAGCTTCAGATGCGTTCCAGTTCTCCTTCCCGCTTCTCAGGGGACTCCCCGATCCATGGATCTGCCTCCACCCTTGAAAGGATTGGGGAAGCAGGTGACGACAAAGTCTCCATTTCTTGCTTCGGTAGTCTACGGAACCTTTCTGGTAGCCACCAGGAACCAAGTGACAGTCACAATAGACGAGAGCACAAGGCTGTGGGCCGGGCCCCACTGGCTGTCATGGAAGGTGTGTTCAAAGATGAGTCAGACTCTCGAAGATTAAACTCCAGTGTGGTAGACACACCAAACAAAAATCTAGCACAAGGGGATTGCTTGCCCCCGGTCTCTGACCCTTTCGATAATAATAACCAGATTGCTTATGTGGATCAGAGTGATTCTGTTGACAGCTCTCCAGTCAAAGAGGTGAAACCTCCCAGCCACCCAGACTCCCTCACAAAGAAGCCAGAGAGCACAACCAAGAGACCCCCTAGTTCCAAAGGCACTTCTGAGCCAGAGAAGAGCATGCGGAAGGGGAGGCCAGCCTTGGCCAGCCAGGAATCTTCTCTTTCAAGTCCATCCCCTTCTTCACCTGTTCCTGTGAAGGTTTCCATGAAACCTGCCCGCTGTCGGAGCAAAGCAGATTCTTCCAGGGCCAGTGGGAGGCATTCATCCCCCGCCTCTACCCAACCCAAAAAAGAATCGTCCCCCAGGTCCCAGGAATCCATGTCTTCTCCTTCACCACAGAAGCAGAAGTCTGCTTCTGCCTTCACTTACTCCTCTTCCTCCATATCTGCCAAAAAAGCCCCAGGCCCTGGCACCAGGGGCTCCTACCCTTCTGGGAAGAGCAGGACTTCTGACCGGAGCTTGAGTAGAGAGGGTTCCAGACAAAGCTTAGGTTCTGACAGAGCCAGTGTCTCCTCCACCTCCACCTCCAAACCCAGCTCCCCTCGGGTGAATCAGGCCAGAGCAGGGGACAGCAGAGTCGATGGCAAACACGTTCGGAGCTCCTCCATGGCCAGCCTGCGCTCGCCGAGCACCAGCGTGCGCTCTGGGCTGAAGAGGGACAGCAAGTCTGAAGATAAGGGACTGTCCTTCTTTAAGTCAGCCTTGAGACAGAAAGAGACCCGGCGCTCCACTGACCTTGGCAAGACAACCTTGCTGTCCAAAAAGGCTGGCGGGAGCTCTGTCAAGTCTGTCAGTAAGAATACCCCAGATGACAAGGCCGAGAAAGGCCGTCAGCCCCCGGCCTCACAGCAGCCAAACACAAATGCAGCTGGAAAGGAACAGCTTGTCTCCAAGGACCCTGCTTCTGCTAAACATTCCTTGCTATCTGCTCGAAGATCCAAGTCTTCCCAGCTAGATTCCGGAGTTCCCTTGTCTCCCAGTAGCAGGCCGGCCACTGAGAAAGGCTCCAAAAAGCTATCTTCTAGCATGCAAACCTCTGCACGGCCTTCTCAAAAACCTCAGTGATCTTTTGCAATCCGGGTGTTTTATCTGTACAGATGTTTATTTATTTAGAACTCCCCCCTTCCCACCAAAGCTCTCTATGCTTTTTTTTTTTTTTTTTTTTTTTGGGTCATGTGCCTGACTGTGTGAGAGAGTATGAGTGTGTGTATGTAATTCAAATTGTTAAAAGTGTCGCCTTATTCTGCCATTGAACCAAATAACAGCCATAGGCAAAGCATTGATACCAAGCTAACTGGAATAACTGTAGAAAATAATCTGGATAGTCCCTTTAGCAATTGTACCTATTTCTTTCTAGAGAACTCTAAGACTAGTTCTTGGTGTCACTGGACACTAGGGTTTGGAAACCTGTGAACTAATTAAGCTATCAGTGTGTAGACAGATGAACTGTTTGACTTGGGTTTCATCTGAGCAGAATTTATCTTCATGTAGATTGTTGAGTGGCATTAGGAGCTTAAAAAACAAAAACTGTGACACTAACAGCAAAATAAACTGAGGGAAAACTTGCTTTCTGCGCTTGGGCCCATCTACCAGTCTTTGTAAGGGCGATATCTTAACACTAATGTTTCTCAGGTATACATACTCAGCTAGTATAGGATGGATGTGCATCACTAATAAATGGGTTCAAGAGGAAGGTGACATGCGGGGAGGTGGAGACTGTCCTTTCTCCTACTGCCATAGGTAGAGGGTTCAGAAGTAGACATGAAATCTTTTCTACCTTCACATCTGCAGTGATATGCATACCCTAGCCTGTCTTGACTCCTTGGATATGTTCTAAGATCTGGCAAAGTTTGGATAGTCAGAAATCCAGTCACTAATATATTTTTTTTTTCATTCTAAATTTGCTGGGCAAGGCCATTGGAATTTTAAACTGTAACAGAACAGTTAATGCCTTTGAAAGGTAACCAGAAAATTTTTTTATTCCAAGCTGGAAGCCTGAGTTGATAACATTTTCGTTCCCTGATGTTGCTTTTTTTCTGTTACAAGTTGAGGATCTCATATTGCCCCTTGTGTGCATGCTTACTGCCTTGTCTTGTTGCTTGGGAAAGAAAGAGGTTGCCTCCTGCCTAGAGCCACTGACGGTGTGTTGACATGAGGTGCGACAAAGCATTGCATGTGCACTTTGGATCCCGCCTGTCAATCTTCCCTTTGACTGCTTTTCAGTAACTCTTTTATGTCTACTCTGTTCTGGAGAATCCATCTCAGACCAATAACTCAAGCAGAGTCTGGCATATGTTCCCTTTGGCATGTAGTTGCAAATTACATTATTGTATGTGAAAAGGGGAACCTCACTGAATTCTCACAGGTAAAACAGTTTTCCAAGCTTTGAGGAAATCACTTGGAAATACTTTCCAGCCTAGTTTTTTAGTATCCTCTTTTTTTTTTTTTTTTTTTTTTAAGCATCAAGAGAATCATGGTCTTGATTCTCAGAGTAGCATTCGTCACTTTGTCATTAAGTATAGCATGTTGAGTTTATGTGTTATTGAATACTGAGGCTCATGGTTCCCAGGTCCATACAAACTCCTTTTCAGTATTTCTGTGAATCAACTGCAGTGCATATGTGCATGCAGTTTTGATTTCTGCACTGTCCTTTTTTTGTTTTTTGAATGAATACCTCTTGGGAAGTATTTCCAGTAGATTACTTAAGTTTATTTTGCTGCTAATGTGGACATTAGCTGGTAGCTTGCAGGTTCAGGGTGGCTGGGATTTTCAGCCCTTGTAGTGTTTGAGGTTTAGGTGTTCATCCTTGTGCACGTTACCACAGTGCTCCATGTAATCCAGTGTGTGTTAGCTAGTGCCCACTGCACTCAGACCCGTACTCGCTGCTTATTTGTCCCCCTTTGTGGCTTCCCAAAGCATTGAGGCTCTCTGGCCTGCTTTGGTGTGACTGAGGTGACAGCTGTCTTTGCATGTCATCATTATTAGTGGCACAAGGTCAGCCCCATCAGTGTTTAGCCAGTCTTGTTTTCTTTATCTGAAAAAGCACTAAGTGTGAGGCCATCAGTATCAGGAACTGAGCGTTTGTGTGATTTGAGCCTCTGAAATGGTCTTAGAATTAGAGTGTGATAAGACAAAGGGTTTAATAACAAGCTGTTTTGCCATAATTAAGATGAATAGAAACTAGTTTAATTTTCACAGTACTTCATAGTTTTATTCTTGATTGCAGTAGGAATGGATCCTCCCTCCCACATGTATCATGTTTTCTTAAAAAAAAAAAAAAAGAATCCTCTACAAGTCTCTTTACTTTTCCATGGGATCTAGAAATACAATTTCTATAATATAATAAAATTGAAAAGCTCTCTCTCTATATATGTGTGTGTGCACATACACACATATATGGAGTTTAGTCCTTATTTCATATTTAATTTACTAGACAAAAGTCAGGACATATGGCATTGTCTAGGCTATGAAGCTGACATGCTTGTGAGGTTGGGAAACAATGAAATCCAATTCCTGACTACTGGGGTGTGTTTAAGACCCAGGAAAGGCTGCTTTGAAGGCATTGTCTGAAGTGAAATAGCTTACCTGAGTGTTGTTACTTGGTTCATTCAGTTCTGTGGCCGGGTTAAGGACTTGGTTATTACAGTCTTTTCCCAGTGATTTGGATACAGTGAACATATGTGTGCTTTGGGGTCAAAATCACCTGCTCAGATGGTAGGCCTGAATTTCTGCTTGGCAACCCACTGAGCCTGGTTAGGGCAGTCATTCCCAGCAGGCACAGAGCACCAACCAACAGAGTGATGCAATAGTAATTTTTTTTTAGTGTTAAATAAGACCCCTTTTCATCCTTGCTCTCTTTTCCTGTAAACATCCTGTGCATGAGGCTACACCATTCCTTGAGTCAGCCTTCTGCCTTGCCTTCATGTCTCTTTAGATGATGCTCTTGTCACTTAAGACCCTTGCCAACCCCTTTTGTATTTTCTTATGCCTGAGAGTAAGTAGTGCCATGCCAGACCAATAGAGCAATGTGGTATATCTGTGCTGTGTCACAGTTGTGCAGAGATCTGAGGTTGACTTGAACACATGTAATCCTTATTTAATCATTCATTCATTCAGTTCATTTGGGCCTGCTTTGCATACAGAGGTAAACAGAAAGCTTCAACCGTCTGCTATAGTTGAGTCCTGGGAGACACCAGAGCAAACAGGGTCTGCCATGGAGTGGTAGTCTTCAGCAGAAACACCAAATGGATTCTGGTCGGCTAAGGCCTGAGATTCTCTTGAGTTTTTGTCTGGAAACCAAAAGTGTCCTTGTTTATCTCTGGAGACATTGTGGTCTTCTGGCCACTGGTTCAGACTGAGCTGTTTACTGTGCAGAGTTAAAATCTAGTACCTAGTCACGCTGCATTAGAATCCGCCCTCTGTGTTTGTATGAGGTGGAATGGAGATTGCTGAGGGATGGGATGCATTGTTACCCTCTAACTGTAATAAAACAAATAGGAATGGTTTGTCAAGGGAGCAGTAGTGTCAGCTTAAGGGAATATGGATTAAAGAGTTGTAAACAAAGCTCACTTCAAATAAACCCTCTTTAAGTAGATGGACACATGGCATCACATTTCATTTTGATAGATTATCAAATAGCTGAAGTTACAGTTTTCTGTGTAGATTGTCATTGAATACAAAGGTAATTAGTGTTCCAGGTTGAACTAGAATGAAAACCATAAGCACAGTTTCAATAAAACACAGTTTGGAGGTGCATTGATACTTTTATTTTGGAGTTGAGAAGGGCAAAATTTGCTGACATACCAGTGCCTAACATAAAAACAGCTTAGCTGCTAGTATGCAGGCTGCTCTTGCTTGAATTTTATAAAAGGTTCATTGCTGTTCAACTGACTGCACCTTTCAGGTGGGACATAATGCTTTTATTTCAATCAATGCTCGGTGTCCCATGCTGCCTTTTGATCAGACCCCAAATTGTTTTTTTGTAGCTGCCTTTTGAGCATGACTGATCATTTTACCCTCAAGTAAAGAAAGCAGTTTTGCATGCCCTCCATTTAGCCCAGAAAGCATGCTCATACTACCTATGCAAGCAACTGATTAAAAGTATACAGAGAAACTACACTAAACGTTGAGTTTTTAAAAAGGAAAAAGACAACTCAGATTCTGGAGCTCTATTTTTGAATTTGTAATTTTTAAAATGTGGCTTAATCATCAGTGTAGGTGAGCATGAATGTGAATTTTAGGTTGCTTTGCGTCTATTTCTCTGCCAATCTTTTTGATCATTGGTGAGATTGTGTATAAAATAGTATTTTGCAAGCAGGAGTGGATTGGATGGATTGGATATGTTGAACATACACTGGTGTATATACTGTATTTAGCCTGAAAACTTTCCTAAAGTATTTTGTTCTAAGAAATAACCTGCCATTTTCTATAGATTTTAATTTTTTATATCTTCTAGTGTCCTTCATCATAAGGAGAGATGTGGCTTCACATAATGCTAACAATTTTTAAATGCTTTTGTAGAGACTTGGAGCTGTTTAGGAAGGCTCTGGGTCTTCCCACCCACTGGTCTCAGTAAGATTAAGGATGTGGAATGTATGATAGTGTTGTACAGTGGATTCAGGTCTAGATCCATCTCCAGTTCATTTAAAACCATTGTTTCCTATGGGGCAGGGACAGGGACAATAGGCTCATAGTGTATGTGAAAGGTGTCTTCAGATCTCATACATACACTATCCCCAGGCCTCTTCTGGATGATTCACCTGAGGTCACTAGGGTCATCAAGGGACTTGGAATGCCTGGGCCTCTCCTGGGCTTTTAATGCCAGTTAGCACTGGTTGGGTCCCGTGACTTTCTCTCCCAGTTGCAGTAGAATTGAGAAGCATATGGTACACCATCTTTTGCCAACAGTTTATGGCGAGATTCATCACTGCCATGCAAAGTACTCAGGAGGAATTCCAGTTGTGTTGGACAAGAAAATTAAAAGGTGTCAATCCCCTGCTTGCAATTCAGGGGACAGGGGCTTTCTGACTTCAAGGCCTGATTTGGACCTGTGGAGCATTTTATGGGTGGTATGTCACTTGCCATTCTGGGGATGATCTTGGTGGCAGGCGCAGTGCCCAAAGGGGTCCAAATTCATTTCCAGAGCCTCTCTCCAAACTCTGCTGTGTGGCTGAGACCCATGCAGGAGGAGAAGTCACCCCAGGTTAGAGAATGTGTCTGAAGACAGTAGAAAGCTGCCTGTGTAGCCTTGCAAACCTTTCTCTGCTTTGACAGCACAGTTGCAAACCACAGGCTGCGCTGGGCCTCCTGCTCAGAGTGCACTCCTCCACCCTCGGTCTGTCTCCGCTGCTCAGAATGTAGCTTGAGGAGGCCTTCTCAGTGTAAAAACAATGTGAAATGTTTTGTTTGAATTACTTTGGAGCTCTCATTGCTATTTGTTCATGTAATTTAAAAAAATCAATACTTATCCAGGAATTTGGCACTATGTGTTACCTGCAGAGGCACATGACGTTTGGTTTTAATCCGTGGTGAGCTAGGTGCACTATACCATCTTCAAAATAATCTACTGTGCTGTGTGGCTTCATCCCATTGAGCATCAGGCTGCCTACAAAAAGAGACAGTTTATGTGACATGGTCCATATTTTAAGGAGTAAGGATATTAGGAAAAATCAGAGCTGGAACAGCTTTGGCACAGCCTCCCAGAGTCGAGCTCTCTGCTGCTGTGAACATGCAGCATGAACTTTCCTAGGTGCTATTCCAGACTGGGGGACTGTGTTTCTGCCCTTGCGGCTCTGTCGGTCTTTCCTGTAGGCATTTATGTCCTGTGTAGGTCTGCTCACCGACTGTGCCTCTCACCACTGGTTAAAAATGAATTCAGGCCCCATTACCAAAATGGTTTTTTGATTCTTTTGTGTATTTACAGCGGTGTTTATTTCTCTGGTTGTCTTAAAAGCTGCATGTCATATCACTGTACTCAAAATGCTTTGGTGTCATTCATGAGCCAGTAGTGAGCTCTATAAATTTTTCAGTAAAAGGATGGCAGAGTATCTTTCCTGCAGGCTGGAAGAAAATGTTCCCTACATTTTAAATTATTTTAGGCCAAGTGCATGAGGTGTGTCACTGCCTTCTGTTATTTATTTGTATATTTTATTATTCCAGGTGTATGCACTTTTAAGAAGCAGAATTTATATTTTTATGTTTAAAACATTTTATTTCTGAGACAGCAGTTGGTTATATAGTATACAATTGGAATTAAGAGAAAACTGGAAAATGTAACAAAACATAATAAATTTATTACATGATGCCTTCAAGACATACTTCTCTTTTCTCCCCCTTGGCAAATCATTTTTTAAAAAAATGTTGACTAGTATTTGTACTGCATCGATTTGTACAACAAAATGCTTTAAAATTGCGGCGTTTCAGGTAAAAACATCAAGTTATAGGATACTACCATGCAGTTTGGCCAACTCCCTGTGCAATTACTATGTAAAGAGATCCCATACATACTTGTTCAGTGTTCCCAGGCATCCATTATGAGAGATAAGATACTGTTTGTCCTGGACAAACAGTATCTTATCTCTCATTATTCCTCTTTGGTTTGGAGGAAATTGTAGCATAAGTAGTAGTCTTTCCTCAGTCTTCTCTCACCCCTTATACACATGGCACCTGCTTTATTTTTTATTTTATGTGTATGAGTGTTTTTGCTTGCATGTGTGTAAGTGTACCACTTGTGCCTATGCCTGTGCCTAGTGCCTAGGGGGAGGCTAGAAAATGATTTTTGGACCCCCTGGAGTTGCTAATAGCTATGATCCACTGTGTGGCTGCTGGGAACTCCACCCAAGTCCCTGGAAGAGTAGCCAGTGCTCTCAATCACCAAACATCTCTCCAGCCTCCCAGTACCTGCCTTTTAACCATCTCCTGAGGTTTTTTGTTTTTGTTTTTGTTTTTTTGTTTTCTAGCTGTCTTGCCCACAAAGACAGAACTCTCTAGTGGGGTGTCGTATCACTTATGTCCACTTGGGGGCAATAGAGCCCAGCATTCTCCAGTGTATTTTAAAAGTCCAGCTTACCAGTTTTTAACTTCTCATCTGAGGATGGAAATGCCTGGGATGATGGAGAATAGCATCTCTGAGCAGGCCTTTCTCATCTCGTAAACAGTCCAGCTAGCCTTTTCTCCCGGAGAAGTGAGTGCTATGGAAGCAGGCCATGCAGGATTGGGGCAGACCACATGCCAGGACCATCCAAGACAGCACTTAACCTCCTCAGGTTTGGAGTGGTAAACTTCCCTTTAGCTTAACCACTGCACACTGTTTACTAAAGAGGTTTCATTATGCATGCAAATGTTCACGTATCACAAAATATATAGATTTAATATTTGCACAAATATTTAAAGACCGCTTTTCCTCCACTGAATTTGGAGGGTTATTTTCAAATACTTGAATGCTCAGTGTCTGCAAACACATTTTAGCCTCTGAAGTCTTCCTGAAGAAAGCAAAGGTATGGCAAAGCCCCTTGACTGTGTCCATTTGTCCTGTGTAGTAACGCTCCCATAAGAGATTTGCAGCCTAAGCCAGCAGAAAGTGACTGAAAAACCTGTCACCCCAAGTCTGTGCCCCTTCCCCAGGTGGATTCCAGACTTCAGCAGATGTTTGGTTCTTGCCTGTGGCTCTTCCTTTTTTTGGGCATCTCCTTGTGGGTTGTCCAGGACTTTGATCTGGTGGGTAGGTCTACTTTGTGCAGAGTCCTTTGGGATTCTGTCTTGAGGTCATGGCTCACCATCACACTTTCCTCTCTCGGTCAACATTCACTACACAGGGAGAACAAGGGATCTCCTCTCAGCGACAGATTTTCCAGATGTAGTCTAGTGGATGTCACCCTGTTATTTGTAATTTGCATGGCTATGTCATTAATTTGTCCTTCTCTTTTGGTTTAAACAGCTCCATTTTTCTTTTTCAAATTTGAATTTATTTACTTTATTATTTTGTGTGTATGAATGTTTTGCCTACATGTATGTTTGTGCACCATATGCCTGCCTGGTACCCACTGAGATAGGAAGATCCCCTTGGAACTGAAGTTACAGATGATTGTGAGCCACCATGTGAGTCTGAAAATTGAACCTGGTCCTCTCAAGTGCTCTCAGCCTTAGCACCAACTCTCCAGCCCTCCCATTTTTCCTGAATTGAAAGTCATTTGAGACTTCAATATTTAGTTAAGACCAGGCATGTGGTATTTCTTAGGTTTCCCCTTTGTTTATGAAAAATCCATAGAGACTCAGACCCACTTTCCAGTTCCTAGAGTAGGCCTCAAGACATTGTGGTATACAGACTGCAGAAGGGTCACAACAGTCTGGTTTATACAAGGCCACATGGGGAGAAGATGACACTTTTCTATCATTCCAAGGCAGAGTCCAGATCTCTTCTTGTAGCACTATCTCTGTGGCCCAGCACTAGGATATAGTCACAGGGTCAAAGTAGTGAATGTCATGTTTCAGCACCACCCTCCATGCTGTTCCTCAAGGCATTCTGCCTACTAGCTTTGGGACACCCAGAGGGTTCATTTCCTCACCCTCACACCATCTCCCAAATATGACCTTGCTTCAGAGCCCTCCTGGAACACCCTCTCAGACTTGCAGTCCATGATACAATCTACCTCCTCCGTACCTTATGTTCTGTGTGTCACTCAATCAGCTGGCTATGCATGTTTGAGGGAGATGCAGGGAGGTGGCCTGCTCCATTTGCTTACTCTTTTTCCTCTTAAAGGAGGGCACCTGGTGGTGAGTCCCTGAACTGCTGGGCTAACTGACTTGTCTGAGTGAACCTTCCTGTCTAGGGGGTGCAGCTATGAAGGTTAAAGGGGGATGATTCTTTCTAAGCCTGTCCCACTGTACTGGACATAGAAAAAGGTTCAGTGAGTGGTTACTGTCATTGTAACCATAGCGACAGAGGAGGGGCTAACCCTGGAGGCCTTGCAGGATAGCTCTCATTCCACCCAAGGGAAACTGTACTTTCTAGAAGCCCCAGGAGACCCTTCCTGGCTTGTAGGGCAAAAAGCAGTGGGAGGAGGGAGGAGTGACCATCTAAAGGGACCTCATATGACCTGCTACCTTTGTTCCAAAGTAAATGACAATCAGGAACAGTTTAATTTGGGGGAAGAGATGAGATCCAGGGGAGATTTGTACCATTGCACAGTCACCATGACAACAATGTGGTACCTGAGAAGTGAGTTAGGAGCTTGCTGCAGGAATCTGGGTGCAGGCTGCAGGAGGGGTGACCTAGAGTGGTGGGGGTGCAAGAGGGTAGGGAGGAACTGCAGAGGAGGCTGGCTTCTGGGCTTGAGCTCTGCTGCTGTGACTTAAGGGTTGGACACTCAGGACAAGTTACTATTCAACTTCTCTGTGCCTGGGAGTCTTCCCCTGTGGAATGTAGATTGTGATGTCTACATGAGGAGGTATTTGGTTAATGGGGTGTTGCATATGTTTACACTTAATTACTAGTGTATTTGGTTTTACCTGTTATCTTACTGTTTCTTTGACATTTGTATTACCCTCTTTACTTTTTAATTGTTTGCTTTTTATAAGTGACTTCATTGCCCTCTACCTCCCTTCCACCCTCCTGTCTTCTATACCACCTGCTTTAGACTCTCTTCTTACGCTTTTAAAACTCCAAGCATTTGTGCATGTATAGGTGTATTTGTGTGTGTTCATGTGTCAGTGTACATGTGCGTGTGGTGTGTGTGTGCTGCTCTGAGGGGGCCAGAGGTTGTTGGGTAGCCTTCTCAGTTGCTCTCCACCTTGTTTTTCCAGACAGTCTCTTACTGGTTTGGCTAGGTTAGCTGGCCAAAAAGCTCTAGGGATCTTTCTGTCTTTGGCTTTCCGATGCTGGGGTTCCAGATGTGCCCCACCCCACTTGGGTTTTCACTTGGGTGCTGCAGATACAAACAGGTCCTCTGGTTTGCACTGCAGATAGTTCAGCTGGCCCTGTTCTTACTCTGCCCCAAACTGGCCTCCTGCTCCAAACCTATCTCCGTTGACTTTCAGCCCCATTTCATTACTAAAGGCAGGCTCTCACCATGTACTTCATGCTGACTTCCAACTCACACTGCAACCCCAAATGCTGAGATGACAAGCGTGTGCTGGCTGTCAGCACTGCGAGCTGGGCTTAGGAAAGGCTGGGAAATGATACTTTAGTATTTTTCACCCCTCAGGGCTGCAGAGCACTTTCACTCTCTTGCCCTTTCAGACCATTTGTTATTCTACTTCCGTGTGCCTTTAACAGTACTAACATTATAGAGTCAGTCTTCGCTTAGGTTATCAGGACGTTTGCTGTTCCACGTCTGTGTGCCTTTAACAGTACTAACATTGGGCTGGAGAGATGGCTCAGAGGTTAAGAGCACTGCTTGTTCTTTCAAAGGTCCTGAGTTCAATTCCCAGCAATCACATGGTGGCTCACAACCATCTGTGATGAGATCTGGTGCCCTCTTCTGGCCTGCAGGGATATGTGCAGGCAGAACACTATACATAATAAATAAATAAATCTTAAACAAACAAACAAACAACAACAACAACAAAAAAAAACAGTACTAACATTATAGAGTCAGTCTTCGCTTAGGTTATCAGGACATTTGTTTTCCACTTCCATGTGTCTGGGGTTGGTTTCTTCTGCCTGAAGAATTCCTGTCAGTATTTTAAGCCTGTGTTAATGGTGCATTCTCTCGTTTCTTATTTGGCTAGAAATGTCTTTATATTTTTAAAGAGGAAATCGTTTGTGTTTATTGATCCATATATGTTTTTCATTAAAATACAGTTAACCTTTTGACTGAGGGGGTATCTGCTTTAGGCACGACAAAGGACCAAACAGCAGCAATGATCTTCTATTTTCTAATTGAAAAACGTGTCTCTATATTAAAAAGAAGGAGAAAGGGAGGGAGGGAGGGAGGGAGAGAGGGAGAGAGAGAGAGAGAGAGAGAGAGAGAGAGAGAGAGAGAGAGAGAGAGAAACTAGAGATAAAATCTTTATTCTGGAAAGTAAATACTTCAGACTAGAGATGAGGGATGTAGCTCAGTGGAAGGGTGTAGGACAAGCATGCTCAGGGCTCTAAGTTCCACCCCCAGCACCAAAATAATAATAATAATAATATAATATAATAATAATAAAACGTTTAGTTGGATACATCTCCTGATTACTGACATGTTCTGGCTAAATTTTATGTCAACTTAATACAGGCTTCATTTTGGAAAAGAGAAAATATACTTCCGCCATATTGGCCTGTAGGCAAGTCAGAGGATCATTTTCTTAATTAGTGATTGATTCCCTA